GGGGGCAAAGAGATAAAAAGAGAGAAGGGGGGAGGACAGAAAAAGAGACATGGAGAAATGGAAAAGAAAATCAGTTTTTGGAAAAGTGAAACTGCAAGACAGGCAGATAAACTGACTGATGTACAGTCAGTAGTAGAGGTGAGTTTCTTATGAACCACAAACATGACAATGTAATAATGGGAACTAGAGCAATATAAGAAAGAATGAGAGAATCCCTATTGCCATATATTTTACAGATGGAAGACACACAATGAAAGGGAATCCCAATTGTCAAAAAGGGAAAACCATAGAATAGCAAATTGAAACTTGTTTTTTTTGAGTAAAGAGAAACAAACTGGCAAAATGAAGGTCATTTAATGCAAGGAAAGTGAAAATTATCATCAAATATCTGATGTTATAAATGGAGAAACTATACAGCATCGTATATTATGATGATACAAGTTTTAGCAGATTCAGAAAAGGACCTTCAATCACTTCTACATACTGTTGAGACAGAAACTGAACATACGGGCTATCTTTTTGTGTAAAAAAAAACAACAACCAGAATGCAGTGTAACAAAAAGAAGTAAATCCTATTTGTAATCTCAAAATCAAAAGTGAAAAAAGATCAAACAAGTTCAACAGTTCGAACATCTAAGGTATGTCATTACATCCAAATACCAAATGTCCCACAGAAAATAAAGAAAAATTACAACAGCTAAAGACAGTTCCACTAACTTGAGTCCAATCCTGAATAACAGAAACACCTCAACAACAATCAAAATAAGAGTTTTCTAAAGCTCTGTGGTCAACCCATGTGGCCGTGAATGCTGGCAAATTACCCAGGAGAGTGAAAATAAATTTCAAGCAGCAGAAATGTGGTTTCCTCGAAATCTGCTGAGAACTTCATGGAAAGTAAAGACATCAAATGAGGTTGTAGTGTCGAAAGAAGTCAGAGTGAGCCATTTATCCAAAAAAAAAATACAAAAGAAACACTGGGACTGCTGAATGGACCGAGGCAAAACCAGGAATAACTTACTTTGAAAACTTGAGAAGATGGGCCACAGGGAAAGACTGAGACAAAAACGTTCACACAAAATCAAAGAAAAGAAACTCATTGAGAGGATGCAGAACTCCTTTAAAGAAGAAGATAAAGAGCAAAATGGAACACTCACCTGGATAGACAACAAGATCCGGAACACGCTCATACTTGCCTTCACGGAGGAGAAAAATCTCATGCACCGTGTGGCCTAGATGGGATGACAAAGGCAAAAAATCAAACCATAAAATCATTTAAGAACGATATACACATATATATCAATCTTCAAAAGCCGACGTTTCTCTAAGCCTAGTAAAATAAAATTAGTATTACTATAATCACTTGTCAGAGATAAGTAGTCACAACTCCAGAGATCTAAAGATAGAAAACCCAATTTTAGAATCCCGGAAACAAAACTCTGCTAGCATATAAAACCATGTGGTCTCCTTTAACTACCCTATGCAGGGATAAAGAAAATAACATATTTAATTAGCAAAAAGAACTGGCCTAGACCACTTACACAAGATATGAGCATATTTTAACTTCTTTTTTTTTAGTTAGTCCTTTCTTAGACTGGTCACAGTAAAGTTAGAAAATTTTTATCATCCATATTATAGCTTGAGTGTAAGGACAGACAATACAATAGCTGCTATTTTAATGAGCAATACTTTGTTGACATTTTTTCATCTGAAAGTATTTAATGTATGGTGCAGTATCAAACAGCTCGAGAAAATGGCAACAACACATTTGCCAATGAAGGAAAAAAAATTTGGGAATGAGTCTCTCCATTAAGCATGGTAAAACAACAAAGACTCAACACTCTTTTTAAAAGACAGCACAGATCACATCCAATACTATTACAGCTGTTGAATAATTAATGTTGTAATTTTGTAAACTCTTAGCTTACCATGGGCTCGGAAGAGTCTGTCCTGGCAATCATCAGAAGCTGATATCGATGTCTTTCTGATGTCGCTGAGGAAACCTTCGTTTTTCACTGGCAAGGGAATGTTGGCAGCAGGAATCTCTGGCTATATATAGAAGGAAGTTTGCAGGCACTTTTATGACATACAATAAGTGAAAAACATGGGTGGATACACATGTGTGTCTGTGAGCATGTCTGTGAGTGCAGTTTTAACACTCTTATAAAAGACTATCAGAACATATTCAAGTAAGAGATGGGACCTCCTAATTTAACCTACTTCTGCCTAGATCATCCAGTGCCCCTAGACTCACTATTGCCGCCTGTTTTTCGCACTCACAACCAGCCATGGTGGTGATTTTTCCCGTAACTAATTACAAAGGGAATTGTGGTCATATGACATTAGCATGGCTTTTCGTTTGGCAAGATCTTCCGGTTTATGTTGATATTTTAAGATTTGCTATTCAGCTATTAGCAAATATTGATCAGGATTTAGAGTTAGATCTCGTTGTTGAGTCAAATGGTGAGGATGAAGAAAAATATAATAAAGAAAGAACTAGAACTCATCAGTGGACCATCCTTGACCAACCAAAAAATAGGGATAGAAATAACTCCTAGACATAATGCATCTAAGTTTTGCGTTTGTTTGATATTTCTTTATTATGTGTAGTTGCTTTTGTAAACAATTTCTTTATAGTGTTGTTTAAGCTTTGAAGAGTTATGCTCCTTCTTTTAACGGAGAAGGTAATTTTTCAAAACAGGGTCTTACGTAGGATTAAATGTATATCTTGATAAAACTGAGAGACATGGCTGAGGAGCCAAGTCTGAGTGAGAATGTCCCATAGCAGATTTGAAAAACAGTCACCCACACCACAATCCAGTATGACACCAACAAAGCTATTGACGTACCCATCAGTGTGTGTGTCAATACAAAATAAACTGACATCCCCTCAATACACTAGGTTCCAAATTTCTAGGTCCATCTCCTGGCTCTGAGACTTTATCACAGTGCCCAGTTTTGAGAGTCAACCAGAGCAGCAATGTTTCCAGAATATAGTGACAACAATGGCATTTGTGAAAGAAGAAAGGTTTTCAATTATAACCTTTAAAAATTAATCTTGTGTCACGTTGTGTAAAAATGATCTTCTTGACTTACTGGGCTGAGACAATAATTTTACAACATGTGAGCTAAGAAATAAAAGTTGAAAATAAAAAATACACACATGTCTACATTGATGCATTATAAAATGTGTCACAACCAGGTGGAAATCAGACGCTTGTCAATTTTTGAGCATGTGAAGTTATTGGCATCATCTTAAAGTTTGTTCATTTGTCTTGCTTTTATTTTAAAACAAAAGAAACATTCCATATATATCTTGAAAAGAGGTTGAGATATTTGCGATTGAAGGAGGTGGGGGTTGGTCGCCTGGTTTCAGAGGTAAAATTAGCGAGAACATGGTTTCAAAGGTTGGAGACTTACATTGCTTGAGAATCTTTCGAAAGTGTAGATTTACATTTATGATTTTTTCCACCTTTAATCAGCATTTTTCCGTTAAATCTACACAAAAAATGTGTTTCTAAATTAACATAAAAGGTGTTGAGCCAAAAAACAAAAATTCAATGAAAATTGTCAAACCAGCATAAAAATGCCGGTTTCTTGGATTTCATTAATTTGACGAGCGTCTGATTCCACCACGATGCCTCACAAAGAGCACAATCCTTGTCTTCTTCTTTTTTTTTTTTCGTCATGCGGAGACTGGAATCTGGAACAGCTGTTATATTTTACTAGAGTAAAAAAAAGTATGGAACACTGCACAGACTTTCAGGTTTCTAAAAATTTTTTAGTAAGGTTTTACGGCACTCACAACTGTATACGGTCATATATGAGTGCCAAGGGGTGGAGGTCAAAAGAGAAGTCCAAACAGAAAATCAGGCTTACTCTGCTCACTTCTCTAGCCTCAACAGCACAAAGTTTGCTTCAACTATCAAGGCATCCCGGAAATAGCAGTTCACAAGGGAGTGACAAACATACAAAAGAAGTAGAGAAAAATGACGATAGTAGGGATGAGGAAAGAAAAAGCAGCAGTTCCCCCATGTTGTTCCGGCTCAGTATGAGCATGACATTGATAAATCAGCCCATTTACAATTCTATTGGGCATAAAAACGTGTTAACATCCCCCCTTTGGGAATGGCTTAAAGACAATTCAGTCAGTAGCATTGCCTGAGGGGGGGGGGGGGGGGGGGGGGGGTGTGACACAGACTTTCAGGATTCCAGAGTTCCACACCCAAAGGAGCTAGTGAGTACCTGAGCAGGGGCTTTATGGTCGAGGCTGATCCCGATGGTGTTGATCATCCACTCCCGCATCGCTGGCATTGTGAACCCACTGATGCGATACCTCTCCCCTGAAAACTCCATGTTCCCATCTTTGTTGACGAAGAATTTGGAGTCTTTGTAGCCCCATCCGTTCCATTTCAACAACTCTTGTCTGAAAATTCAAAGGAGGAAGCTCAATTTATGATAATACAACAAACAAACAAAATCACACACAAAACAATTATCAGCCAAAAAGAACCAAGGCATCAAAACTGAGATATTGAAAGCATAATTCTGAGAATGCATTTTAAGCACATTGCTACTATACATACGAATATGACCTGGACAGAGTTTTCACATCAGTAGAAAAAGCTTCAAATTTTCAAAAGCCTTAGAAACATTTTAGGAATCACATAGCAGCAATACAAGAAAACCAACACATGTAAGTACTGGAAAGAACAGGAGTCCTCTAAATATTTTCCTACTTATGCAAAACAGACTGTTAATGACCTCACAGTATTAGGAAACCTCCTCTACAGAAAACTAGAGAAGGAGTAAAAAAAAAAGGGTCAAGCTTTATATTTTGAAAATCTGCAACAGAAACAAGAACTTAACAGAGACAAGCTTTGGAATCTGGGAGCAACTGGTAGACTATTATAATAGCCAGTGTCACAACTGTATAAATATATAGGGTGATGTAGAAAAAGTACAGATAACTAATCCTAAATTACATGCAGATATTAGCCAATTTACCTATTTTACAAGATGCGAACTCATACTTAAAAAAAAAATCCTTTAACCTTCATAACCATCTCGGGCATTGAAGGCAGAAAGAGATGGCTAGTAATGGGAAGTTGAAAGGCATGGGAAAGTAGCCGTACTACAAGATCTTCAGTCATCAGGGAATCTTTCTGATCCTTGTTCCAAGTATATGTAGAGTGTTCATCTTGCCTTCCATCCTGATATCTTCCTGTTGTACATCTTAGTATTGGTCAACTGGTTGGGGCGCGCGAGTCAGATGCCCTAACTACCTGGCTCTCAGTTGTTTGATAAAGTGGAAGACGTGTTGCTCCAACCATTTCTAATAATACTACAGTTAAAAATCGTGTCACCAAGTTTGGGCTTGCCAATAGATCTCCTCAGCATCGCATTTCTCAGATGGTAATCTTGTTTTCCTGGCGTTTTGTCACTGTCAACTGTACTAATGTGTTTGAACTGATTTTCCTGAATTAAATGAATAAATGTTTTTTTCTTGTGTTTATGAGTGTATGAGGTTTAACTTTCACTAATCAAGTTAATGTAAAGCTCTCAGACTTTATACTTGTGTATGCAATTTATGAATATTATTATTTCATCATCATTAATAATACATGGTTAGCAGTAGACATTCTATTGGCTTTTTGAACTCTTGAATCGTTATTTTAGAATTAAGACATATCCTCTGTGACATGCTGCCTGAGTACTTGAATTCAACAACGGTGACTTGCTTCAGTGGAATTCCATAGATGGTTATGTTATAATTCACCAATATATTCCACTGCTTTGTATGCTTGGAGAAGCAACACAATGAAAATCCTAAATATCCCTTGGTATTATGTCCCCGGCCCCTTTTGATACATTATTATAATCAAAGTAATTACTGCATATCATGTTATCAGAATGGAGGTTAAGATACATCTGGAGCATAGAAGAAACAAATACTATTTATAAGAAATTCTGCATTATCCACCCAAAACAGGTGATGACTGACTGATTTAATACTCGTCTAAGAAGTTGTGACACCTCAGAATGTGTCAGGAATGGTACCTACGAGAGTGGTACAAACGGAGAAAGAGACATTTCTTCAAATTAACATAAAAACATTCAGGTAACAAAGAAGCAGTGCCACCTGAACAACCTGCCCCTCTCCTCCCCCCAATAATCTCAAACTCACTATTCTTTATCACCTTGCCTTGTCCCCACTGAAATGCAAGATAAAAGCACTAAAGGTAGTAAAAGTTTAACTACAGGAAATGGCGGTTAGAAAAACACACAGCATCACTTCAAGTTCAAGATAATGGAGGGCAACAAGTATACATCATAAAATTTATTTCAGTCTATCTAAATTTAATGTCAAACTTTTCGTGCCGGAACCCTTTCCAAGAGGGAAACCTGACACAACAGAATCCCCCCCCACCCCCCATAAATTTGTGTAACAACGCAGAGAAATCAGGTGCTCGTCAATTTTTGAGTATGTGGGTTATTAGTATCATCTAAAAGCTGATTTGTTTGCCTTGCTTCAAATGAAATAAATATCCATCTATCCTGAATAGAACTCAAGATATTTGTGATTGAAGGAAGTGAGGTCTCCTGGCTTCAGTGGTGAAATTAGTGAGAAAATGGCAGCCAAAGTTTGGTAACTCCAATAGCTAAAGTGCCTAAAGAGTCCATGAAAACAGAAAAATGACATATTTTGTGCCTTTAATCAATGTTTTTAAATAAAATTTCTGTGGGAAATGTGTTTTTATAAGGACATAAAAGAGGTTGAGCCAAAAAAAAAAAAAATGATAAAAATTTCCAAACTGGCAGAAAAATGCCTGTTTCTCCTATTTCTGTAATTTGACGAGCGCCTGATTTCACCACACTGCCTTACATTTGTACATAATACATTGGTGTGAGACAGTCAAAATCCTTCACAACCCAGAAACAGACAGAGACAATTCCACCCTTTGGAAGGTTTTGACCTGTTGAAGGCAGATAATAAATGCCGGATTCAACAGAAACTCCCCCAAAAGTTTGGTTTCACTGCTTCTAATCATTAGACAATACACTAGGCAAAGAATAGGGAATGGTTTTGGGGTAGCTGTTTCCCATTCCAGTGATCCCTGAGCAGTGCAGAGATAGCCAGGATACTATGCGTACAAAATCTGACCACTGTTTGTCTTCGAAGTGCTCAAATGGTGGACCAGGATGGAAACTGTTGGCCAAAGAGGTACATGAAATCTGACCACTGCCTGCCACCCTGATCATGTAGTCAGCCATGGAAAAAAGTTCTCTCTACACAATTATGTTACCGAATCTATTTTTAAAAGCATAATATAATAGTAGTTCAAATAAAGACAATGAAATATTTCAAAAACTAGTACAGAGAGGCCTAAAAATGAACAATGGCTCTCTCGTGGTCTAGAGGTTACGGAGTTCACCTCTCATTTAATTAGAATGCCAATCGGGCCTCCGTGCGCAGCAAAAATTTGGTTCCTGTTTGCGGACGAATTTTTGGACCGCGTCGGAACGATAGTGACTAACTTTCTCGAGCTCGTTTAGCGCTATTTCTGGACCAATGTGAATGAAACTCTGCAACCAATTAGAAAATAAGGCAAACTAATGATATGTGTGGAAGTCGAAGTTCGTACTCATAAATTAACCTATACTTTTGGTGTTGTAGGAAATACTTTTGTATCGTCTACACCGAAAAATATAAGGAATTCGATATCCGCTGCCGAAATGGTAAGAGATCCATCTTTCCTCCATAGTGGGTTCAAATTTGAACGACCTTCTGTGTCAAGTAGTTGCCCAGAATTTACCATAAATGCACGACTACCCCCCTGTCCTAAGCAGCTTCGCAAGGAGACTGGCCATTTTCCCCTCACTCCTATGCAAATGTCTGTGACCTACAAATCCCCGCATGACTATTCCGAGCCCGTTCATTGGTCACTTGAAATAGGGCAATGGCGAGCACACACATCCGGTTGTTTTTCTCTCTATTCCCCTGTAACATGGCAATGGGTGTATTCCGAGGCGAGCTTATCTCACCTCGGGGTGTTTGCGTCTCAATGGAAAAAAGGGGTTTTGATTGAACAGCATGATAGATTGAATTAAATTATATTTTATGGTTGGCATTGCCTAAAGTCATCAAAGAAAGCTTTGCCATTATTTAGTCACATTGCCAACATATATTCTTAAAGTTAAAGATCCCATGTTGTGATACGATGCTATAAATAAAATGGACTCATCCCGACATCCCTTTGTGGCAACATCGTAATATGTACACCAAAATTTTAATTAACAAAAAAACTACGACATGGTCATGGTTAGTAAATCTGACAGCAGAAATGATTTCTCCACCCAAAACCATATCGGGTAGCCAAGTTTCTTTCTAACACTCCGATTAATTACAGAGATATATCGTCGATAATCTTACAGAATCTGCTACTGCGTGGTCCATTGTTTAGGAGTATTTATAAAGATATGCGGGTCATCCATATTTTGCTGACATTTACAACCCAATAACCTTTTTATTTATGAACCGATTCTTAAAATTCAAGAAGCATAATTCTTAGAATTGAAAATTCTTTCTTAAGTACCAAAGGGCTAAAGTGAAAAATTAAATTTTCATTGGCATTGCTAATTTAATAGGTCCCAGGTTCGAAACCTGACAGAAAATTTTCTTCACTTAAATGTTTTCCTTTCATCTCATTTCGTGCTCTCCAACCATTTTCTGTTGTCTGCTTTCGTCTCTACTTTCTGCCTCCCCCCTTTGACCACTCCTCTGGGCTCCCAACTCTTTCTGCATCCTTTTTACTGCTACTCCTTGGCTCCTTATTGCCGTCTTTCAGCCACACCCCTGATCTTAGGGTAGGTAAGATCTAACACCTGGTCTTCTCCTATATGGGTGAAAAATCTCGGAGGTCCCAAAAAAAGTGCAAGTAGCGCACTTTAAAGATCCCTTGGTGGTCCAAAATCAATAAAAGTAGACTTCGGCCACCACCAGGGAAAAATTCTTTAAAAAATTCCTACGAAACTGAAAATGTTTAAGGTGTCCCTCACATGCTCATATATGACCTTTAGCAGTTGCGAGCACAGTAAAACGCTAACAAAACAAAACAAAATTGAACTAATAACTGTAATAATAGTCGAAAAGACTTCACCACACTTCACAGTGCACTACAAAAATCGACCTACCGCTAAATCTGAGTCTGCGGAATCTGAGCATGAGAAGTGAGTAAAGTAAAACCCATAGTGCCTTGCGTGAAAATTACCATTTGAAGCAAAATCTTGAAAATCAACATGTCCAGCTCGTCGTTTCTTCGTATCCGTGTCGCATTGAGTTGCTGAGGTAAACAAACCAACATGGTGGCCGGACAGCAAATCTCAACCAGTGCCCGTGTACAAAGCCATAACATACAACACAACAAGTACAAGACAAGAGTGGCAACACCTGGCCTCAAGTTACCGTGCACGATTTTTGTTTGATTTTTTTATAAGAGTCAAAAAGTCAAGTCTCAAGTCTCAGCTGTGCACTGTGCCGTGACTGACTGATAGATTTTTACTTCAAACTTCAACGTCCACTTCCTATTATTTACCTTCTTTTAGGAACTCTTGGGGGCTCAGGGTCAAGAGATGCACTGCCATCTTTAGATCCAGCACATCCAGAATTTGATAATTTTACATCTGACGATTTCGAAAGGCATAGATCTAGTCCACTTCGGCTTTGGTTTCTGTTGTTGCCTGTCGACGCCATTGCGAAAGAATATAATTGGAGTCGTTTCCCTTGCAGGCCAGGGTTTTATAAGTGCCTGATAGGAGAAAGGGGCGAGAAGTAGTAATACACCCCCAGGGCTATAAGTTTATTTAAGAGATTTTAAATAATATGTTTATAAGCAAAATTATTTTTTAAAGAGTACTAGAATGGCAGCTCAGTTAACAATAATATAAATCATTTTATTCGCATGCTTACAACTAACAAACACATATTGTTCAGTGCCAATCGGCAAGAAGTAGAAAATCTAATATGGTCCTATCAGTTTCGTCACGCCATTCAAGACCCCTCGGGAGGGCAAAGTTCAAAGGTTGGATTTGGTTTACAAAACCACCAAAACCTTGATTTTCTCTACTTCTCTTATGAATGCCGATGAATCGTGTGCCGTTGAACACGCGTCGTCCTCAGACTGTTCGATCAAACTTTGCTGTGAGAAAAATGCAAATCACAAGTTCAGACTCAGATATCTAGCGATCTAAACCAGAAAATGTGATCAATATTTACATCCACTAGATCTACTGTCACATACCCCCTTTATATATTTTCAACCAAGACTTCGGTCTTACTAAAATTACAACTTAGAGTTAGAATCTACTCTAACTTTAATGAAGGCTTTGAGTAGGTCAGGCGATAAACTAGAATTAAGTTTCATGATTTTTTGACATATATCAGCGAATTACCGATAAGCTTATCTGTGTGACCTTACACGTTCAACTTGGTTAATATTAATGTCTCATATGTAAGGTACAACACTTGAGGACAAAGTCAAAACTCTATCATCAGCAGAAAAAGTAAATTTTATCTGAAACAGAACGATACTAGAATACCAGTAGGCCTACTTCGTTTTAGTTTGAATATCTTTAATCATTCATCATCACAGCGCGCCACACTCCACAATCTCCACTTCAAAATGAAGCTGCTGCTAGCCTCAATTATTATAATTAAAGTAAAGCTAGCCTACTCAACTCGAAGCGAGATAATATACGAAGATGCATGATGCACAGCTACTAATCAATATATCGCGCACCGTCGAAGGCCCTATATCGAATCTAAACCTTGGTAGGGGGATAAGCTAAGATGTATACATGATTGAATATTGTGTTGAGGCGTGTGTGTGTGTGTGTGTGTGTGTGTGTGTGTGTGTGTGTGTGCGCGCGCGCGTGTGTGTGTGTTTGTTTGTGTGTGTGGGTTGGGGGGGGGGGCGGATTTCATTCTTCCCCGAATAATCCCATAACTTATCAATTACCATATTACAAGTAATTTAAAGGCTGAATAACCTTTTCTAATGTACAGTAGGCCTATTCTATGCCTACGTATTTGAACTCTCATTTTTAGGTAGCCCAGTATAATCTGGACATTAGGATGGCTATACTTTGTTTTAATTTTATTTGGACTGGTACAGGCATCCACTCTATGAATTATGGCTAATGTATAACTACAAGGCGAAATTCAACATCTACATAGGGCCTACATGTAAAATAATGGCAAAAAAAAAGGGCCAATATAGTGGGTGTCGCATTCAACGAGGTCGTATTCAACGATAAGTCAGCTCTAACGAGGCATTCCTTAAATTCCCCATTTTCCTCTAGATCTATATATCTCTCTTTGTAAATGTACGTCAGCTCCATAACGAGGTTGGAAACAGACCAAATCGCTTTCAACGAGGTCGCCATAACCAAATAAATGCAATTACCGGCCCTAAAAGCGAAGAATTTTCCTCCTTTCTCTCCATCTCACGCGAAGCACAATTTGCGGCCCATCCTCGATTCCTAACACATTGTATTGCTAGATCAATTGTGCCTCCTAATAATAATATGGGCCCCAAAGCAAAGAGGATGGGCGAGGGTTAGCCTACGGTAGGCCTAGAGATGGAAGGGGTGGGTGGGAGCGCGATGCGGGCTGTGTGAAACTGGATGAACTCTGGATGGGTAGGTCTAGATCGAGACCTTCATTTTCTTTTCTTCCCCAGATAAGAAAATCCAAGCTCCCGCCTTTACTTAAAGTAGATCAAGGCCCAGGCCTAGATGTGAGAGGGTATGCTTTCACACGAGAAGTGTTCCGGAAAAAAAATAATTTTAGAACGCAGAAATGACAACCAGATCATAGCTCAATCACGCGCACACTGATGCTGTTCGACATTTTCGTCGTCAGGGGGAACAACTGTTTTAATTACTGGTATTAGTACATCGTGTAATATATAATTACTTGCCTCCTTTCTTTTTTTTAGCCTTAGCAGGTCTTGTCACGTTCAACGAGAGGTGGAATCCAACGAGGACAACAATCCGGTCCCGCCAACCTCGTTGAATGCGACACCCACTGTATTACATGTATTATTTTCAAGCCCCCCCACTGTTAAATTTTCTACATCGCCTGCTTTGCCTCCTTTTGCATTCTACTGAAAGTGTAGAAGACTATTGACGCTGCATAATTCATGTGGCATCGTGATGAATGCTCGTTAAACTATACAGTAATATAATACATCTGCCTCTTTACGCCCGTTGGCCAACTTTTTTCGAATTTTTCTTTTGGCTCTGGCACATCTTTTGTGTTAATCTAAAACACACTTTCTGAGTTGATTTTAATGAAAATGATTTTTATGAAAGGAACAACAAAAAAAAAAAAAAAAAAAAAAAGGAAGCGCATGTCTAGGTAGACTCCAATTGGGGACCACGTAGTCACGGACAATGATGGTATTTACGATCTCTGGTCATGGAGGTGCTCCCCAACTGTGTTGGATTGTGATTGGCATACTATATACTCTACTGGAATGGAGCAATAAATCTTGAGAGATGCAAAAAATTAGAATGTCTAGATCTATACTCCGAAACTGAAAATAGAAATTGATAGCTCTAATTCTCGCAATGCTTAAAGTTAAAGCGGAAACGTACATGCTTAAAAATCTTAATTAATGGAGAAAAAGAATGCAACACTAGTGACAGTAATAAAACACACCAAACAAAAAATATATAGAAAGAAGAAGAATATGAAGATTACATGTGCCATGTGCACTCTTCAACCACCGCTAATGTACAGGACATGTACCCTGTAAATTTTGAAGTCATATGGTTGGGTGGTTTTAGAGTTTTAGACAACCGAAAATTGCCAAGTGGACCCCCCTGCGCCAATATAAAATGGGCCCACAAAGTCTTGACATTGCACTGAGGCCTATTTTTTTTTCTATTTTAATGTAGTTTCAAAACGCAGCATTGTGTGCATGAGTACACGTATTCACATTGTAACCATGCACAACAATGTGAAATAAACACACTAAAATATACGAAAAATAGGTCGCAATGCAATGTCAGGACTTTATGGACGCACTGTGTATAGAATTTTTATTACTTATTTACTACCCATTACGCTATCTGGCGTTTAGGGCAGCAACAAAGGATCTCCAGCTCTGTCTGTTTTGGGCCATCTTGGTCAGCGTTCCCCACGAATGATTCCAGGACTTCATTTCAGACTCTACTGTGCATCTCCACGTCACTTTGGGTCTGCCCCTGTTGCGACGTCCTTCGGGTGTCCAGTGGAGGGCAGTCTTCACAATAGAGTCTGGTTCCCTTCTCAGAACCTGCCCAATCTACCTCCATCTTCTCCTTTTTATTATGGTGGTCATGTCCTCTTGCCTACATTTTCGTAACAGAACTGCGTTAGAAATTTTGTCGGGCCAGAAGATTCTGAGTATTTGGCGTGTATAGGTTGGCGCAGAGAAAAACAAATAATGGACAAGTTTGCCACCTTCTAAACATAAGTCTCCAACTGTCACAACAGATAGAAACAAGAAAATAACAGTATTTCGGACACATAAAATGCTATTCCTTAATCTGCAGGACTATACTAAAGTGTGAAGTGGAGGGAACAAAACCGAGAGACATTAAGTGATAGATTGGGGTCTACGGGAGCCACATAATATATGGTGGCAAGGTGCTCCCCAATTGGAGACCACCATGACACTTAGTCCCCAATTGGGGTATACCTGGACACTTCCCAAAAATGAAAGCTTAGTTTGCAGAAGTCAGCAGACTTTGGCAGCCATATTAATTATTCTCGCTAATTTCCTCTAACAACACCTCCTTTTTCAAACAGGAATTATCTCTACTTCTATCCTAGATGGATGGGTATTTTTTCATCAAACTGATCGAGACAAACGGACAACCCCCGGGCGGTGCCACTGACTGAATTGTCTTAAGGCCATTCCCAAAAGGGGGGGGGGGGGCATTCCTCGTTCTAATGCACAGTAGAATTGTAAATGGGCTGATCCAACAATGTCATGCTCATAACTGTGCCTGAACTACAACAGGGAACTGCTGCTTTTTCTTTCCTAATCCTTACTATCATCATTTTCCTCTACTTCTTTTATATGTTTGTCCCACTCTTGTGATCCACTATTTCCGGGGTGCCTTGATAGTCGAAGCAGACTTAGTGCTGTTGAAGCTAGAGAGGTGAGCAGAGTAAGTCTGATTCCCTGTAAGGACTTCTCTGTTAACATCCACCCTTTGGTGCTCATATGACCTTATGCAGTTGCAAGCGCCGTAAAACCTATACTAAAACAAAAACAGGACAAGCTTTAACGGGCGATATCAGTGCTATGTGTCCAAATATTGACGAGCGCCTGGTTCCACCTTGTCACGACACATTTTTTCTAACGCTGTATCTCCAAGCGTTCAGATCATCATTCCCTCTGTCTACATTGTATTTATATAATTTTATGTACATTGTATGTGTTTCCCATCCCCTTTGGCGTAATTTAAATGTTGTTTTTTTAAAATGAGAGGCGGACCCCCCCGGAGCGGTCGCTACTGACTGAAGTGTCTTTTGGCCATTCTCAAAGGGGGGGGGTACATTAACCATGTTTTATGCACAGTAGAATAGTAATTGTAAATAGGCTGATTCATCAATGCCATGGTCATAATTGCGCCTGAACTGCAAAATGGAACTGCTGCGTTTCTTTCCTAATCCTTACTAGATCTATCGTCATATTTTTTCCTCTACTTTTTTTTGTATGTT